GCAATAGAGAAGTGGGAAGTAAAATGTAGTTTTCAGTGAGAAAACTCTCCCCAACAAGGAAAGTCAGGAGTCAAGAGCTCCTGCTCCACCCAGGCATCGGACGCCGACAGTCTCAAGAACTGACACAACAGCTTTCTGTGTATTGGACTTGACATGAGAGGCCTTGATGCTCCCGGCTTGTACCGGAGGCACTTCTCTGATTATGGCTCCTGGGGGTGGCCACCCAGGACGCTCCCTGAAGAATTGTCGGGTTTAACAGCAAAGTGACTTTGCACTCATCTCAGATATTTGTACTAAAGATGGAGGAACCACGGCTTTTATGATGACTAAAAGTTCAGGATCCAAGGCAGAAGGATTCCAAGTGGCTGATACCGCTTGTGTCTCCGGAGATGAATGGCATCTGCTGGAATGTGTAAGGGATCTCAAGTCAGGTAGACCTGGGTCCAAACCCTGCCAAGGCCACTGCTGTGAAAACTGAGTGAATCCATGACAGAGCTTAAAACTACCAGTGCGCTCTTGGTGAACCTTAGCTAAAGGTGTCACTCACCTGGCTGTCCAGACAACTTTCTGAGAACCCTAGCTTGAAGAATACATGCTAAAAGCACAGAGCCTCCCTGGCTGGCTCCTTTGTCCTCTGTGTTGCTGCTCACATCCGCCCTCCCCTTTAACCTGCATTTTCCCAAGGCAAGTATGGCCCTGGTCAGCTTCCCTTCTCTTTTGGAATCTTATCCCTAACAGGAGAATGACTTGTCTCTTTGGAGTTGGGGGACTCTGTGCCTCAGATAGCTCAGATCAGCCAGATATCTAACAGAAGCATGTGTTCTGCTGAGCAATTGACTTCCCTGAAGCCTGCTCTCATGACGGTGACAATGAAGTGGGTAGGCCAGGCACAGGAGCCGCTGCTGCCAAAGCCGCCTGCTGGATCCTTCTGAACTAACAGAGCCCATCAGTGTATCAGACTCTGCACACTAGGCTTTCCAGCCCTTTAATTCTAGCTTCTTCTTGAACAGAGTCATATAATCACCAACTCTAGATAGGGACAGCACTACCTATAGTCAGCCTATTAAAAAAACAACAACCCACTAATCAATTGTAAATGAGACTTCAAGCCCAAACACATAAATGCCTTTCCTCTGTGGCATTCTTCTGTGGGGGCCCTGGGGATTATTATGGACTTGTTGCAATGCTTCTAGAACCTAGGACATTAGCTCATCAACCTGTGACATTTAGTTGTAAGGCAAAACAACTGGGAACTCAGGGTCTGTGTCACTGTGTTACCTCTGCAAACCAGCTGGCTTCCTTCTCCCTGAAACAGTCTTGCTTCAACAATCCCTGGAAAACTGTTCAAGGAAAAGAATTTCGAAAACCATCTGCTGATGGAAGAGCTGTCCGTCAAACAGCAGCTCTGTGCTGAGCAGGCCTGGCAGAGTTGGGTGCTGGGGCTACCAAGAGGAATAAAGCACTGTTTCTCGGTGCTCACAGTTACATAGCTGAGACAAACACTTTTACGTTAGCTGGGTACCATGACAGAACATTGGATCCTTCTGATGCAAGAGGCAGACTAAAGTCAGCCCTTAAGTGACAAGCAATGCAAAAGACATAAACTAAAATTTAGTTTTTAAGCAATAAAGGTGAGGACATGGGAGAAAATCAGAACTCCTTAACATATAGAAGTTAACATCTGTCCTATTTGTAACCACTCCTTAAGGGTAAGGGGATATCCCAGCCTCTTCTCTTCTCTTCTCTTCTCTTCTCTTCTCTTCTCTTCTCTTCTCTTCTCTTCTCTTCTCTTCTCTTCTCTTCTCTTCT